TTGAAAAGCTACAGGGTAGCCTACGATGTTCCATCATGTCCTTATCAAACACTGTATATGTACCTTTGACGATTTATTTTATATTTATTCAACAGTGTTAACGGCTGACTTTCTTTAACATCATATATAATATACGACAGTATTTCTAGCCGTATTTCCAGATTTATCTGGCCAAACGCCCTCTTGAGGCATAGCATTGTGTAATACAATGTTCCCGACGGGTATTATGATATACTTCATATCATGAAGCTTTCGTGGTCTAGTGGTTATGACGCTCGCCTTGTCAGCGACAGGTTGCAGGTTCGAATATATACATAAATACACTACAACTACATATAAACATACAGTATAAAATTTACAAAAGACTTGTTCGATTATGTAACAGTTTAACATTAAAAAGAGATCGAGAAGGTTAAAGAACATGTAAAATTTATACATTGCTAAAGAAACATCAATTTGGATTATTTTCTAAGAATTAGTAATGTGTAAAAAAAAAGAATAAAAACTGTTAAAAAAATTATTAAAATAAGGTAAAAAGCTTGAAAAAGAAATATCGATATTGATTGATATGATGGGTTAGATAGTTGATGATTGAATAATCAACCAATTACATTGCTCATTGAGACGTCACAGTTCTTCATCAAAAGATTGATCTGTTGGTTGGTTGATTGATTGGTTGATTGAATGTGGGCTTATTGATTTATTTACAAAATACTTAAAAAAGATTAGTTGAAATAATGATGGGTTAATTAAAGTTATATTGATTACTTAGTTTATTGATTGTATCTGATAATTGACTGACTGACTGATTAATTGTTTGAGTAACTGCCTTATTTTTTGGTTGCTAATTGATTAACTGATTAATGATTAAATAATTAACTGAAATCATTTTAATATTACATTCGTTAATAATGCATTGATTTTTTATTTGTAGACAACTTACAGAAATGACACTGGCTACCGTAAAAATTATCAAAACATTGGCATATCCCCGTCTTTTGGTTACACAAACCTCCGTTACGACATTGAAAACAAGGCTCTGTAGGAAATATAAATAGAAGAGAACAATTAAAATTACGTGTAAAAATTGAAAAAAAAAATCCCAAAACGACATTTAAACAGTATAAAGAGAATAAAGCACTGGAAATAGTACCGGAAGTACTAAAGATTCATTTTTCTTTTGACATGACGCAAACTTTTGAGCATACAGTACTCTTCTTCAGATGACTCATGCGAGATATAAACCGTAAATGCTCGAATAAGCGCCGCGGCGCTTATACATTTTTCGGAGGCTTCAGTGCGGCGCTTATTCGAGAGCGCTTTCCATGCCCGTTCATGTTAACTATTTCACGTATTCCCGTAGTTCAGTAAGCCTATCATAGGTCCTATCATCCTAAACAAACGTTTATAAAGAAATACTGCTTCATTGTGTTATTTATTCATTCAAACACTGTATACACTGTATTTAAATGCCTGTTTCATTACACACACGTAATATTATATACTCTCGATTATATACTCTCGATACTCGGCGCTTATTAGAGAGCGAGCGGCGCTTAACGAAACAAAATCACGTTTGGTGCGGCGCCTATTCGAGCATAATAGGCCTAATCGACCTTTCCACTAATCTCCGACAGTAGGGAGTTTTCGCAAGCTTACGTAAACGATAACGAATACGGTTACGTCATCAATTTTTTTTACAATCCTTCCGCTAGAGTACCATATCTGTCACAGCGTAGGCGATTTATGTCTTGTGCATGAATCAAGGATCATACTCAGCTCGTACAGTGTATTGTCAAGAATGTTTGAGACACGAATGGCGATAATGATAATGACGTATTCGTTATCTTTTCTCATCGATTTTTCTTATTTTATTGTCTCAATTATTATATTCATTATCAATTTCTGTATTTATTGTCTCAATTCTTGTATTTATTTTTATAATTAAATTTTGTATATATTATCTTAATTATTTACGAAATTGTAAGGCTCACATGCAATTTGGTTTTCGAGCCACGACTTGTGACCGCTTTTTTTATTGATGTTTTTATATTTATGTTTTTTTATATGAATAAAAGTGAAATGGTTTTCGTTATTTTGCGAAATCTCCTTATTGTATATAATAACGCACACACGTGGGTTTGTGGGACACGCGCGTATCCCTGGACCTGTTTTGATTGGCCAGTCGGTTTGATTGACATTCCAGAAAGGTTCATTGTTATTATTACTATTTTCACCTGAAAGAGCAATTTGTGCTCGGAAGCTGGTACTTTGTCAAATAATACTATAGTGTTTAAAGTACTCCAATTTTCCACTGTTAATTACGGCTCAGCTATTTTTTAATTGAAGAAAAAATATACAATTGTAGAAACTTACCATTACAATATTTCTCATCAGAATTATCTGGACAATGACCAAAAGAATCACACAGCAATCTAGAAGGTATACAGTAAAATCCTCTTTCGCACGGAAAGTAGTTACTAGGACAAGAGCCACCGACTAAAAAGACAAAACATCTATATTCAACTCTACTGTTAGTTACAAATTATACTTTTGCTTAATGTCACCAGTCTGTAGTACCAGTGGGGGTCCAAGGGGCAGTAAAGGGGGACTTTCTCCGCCAAAAAATCGAACCGATTGTAATATTCAGATTAAGGTTAAACATTTTAAGCTTCATGTATCCCCAGACCCCCACAATAGGTATGGGATCACCCAAATCTTACCCATCAAACCATGGGTCCACAATTGCCGCTTCGCATCCTGGGGAAAAACTGGATTCACCCCTGGGTAGGCCTATTTCTTATATTCATCAATAATTTGACCTTCATATCTCCCCTTCTTTTCTTATTTCTTTTTTGAGCTATTACTTCAAACTTTATAAAACTACATCAGTTACTGTTCGATCTTATACATTCTACAACTGGAATACTGATGACCTATATTTTAATATCAACCTCCTGCAGTATTCTTCTGTAGCATGTACATTAGTTACATTTTATGTTAATTAATGTTTAAATCTTAATGTTTTTATAATAAAATAATATTCAAATAATAAAAGTTGTAAAGATCATTTTCAACACCGTGTCAGTGCGATGTCATGGCTGACATATTCTCAATACTTAATAATGCCAGACTCCGGATAGAAAAAAATTTTGATATTTTGTATAAGCGATTTTTCTAAGACAATTTTTTGAATATTTAAAAACTGGTGAAAAAAGTTGAAAAAGGGATGGTTTCAATATTCAAAAATCTGTATCTCATTAATCGCTTTCGAGTTTTTCGTCAAATAATCCTTTTTGTGTTTTAGAAAAATCAGTTGTACAACATATAAAAAAATAATGCTTTCCCCTGGAACATGGCTTTAATAAAACCTTGCTCTTCCACGAATACTTTGTATCAGTGTATTTCTTCTTCTGACGACGTAGTAATAATAATAACACGTGCGAGTTACTAAACTACCATTGATAAAACGTAAAATTCCCATGTTTTGTTTACACACTTTTCCCTATTTTTCATCCATCTCGTCCTCCACTACTATATACTTTATCACCCATGTCTCCTACCTACATCTCTTTCGCAGCAAAAAAAATACCATGCCTTCTCCACCCTTCACTCATCTCTAAACAGATGTGTTTTTACCTGATTTAGCGGTTTTTGTACAAAATGCATAGACAAATTGAAGGCTGACGGCTTGGTAATTATTAAGCTTTAAGTTCATAGTCACTGTCATAGTTGTATCTGGTGAGGTTAAATCAAATGCATCCAAGCTAGTTCTACGATCTAAAATTAACGAATTGCTTGTAGATCCACCATATAATATTATACCCTCTTCTGACAACACATCTGAATTGAAAAAAAAATTGTAATTTAATGTCGCGCATTTTAGATTTACATAGTTTCATATAGGCCTATACGTTTATATTCAGGGGGTTCATGTGGTTTCGGCCAGATCCACATTTTGAGTGAACCCCACTCTGTGAAAACAAAATCATTCTATTGAATCAAATATTCATTGATGATGATGCTGAAATTTACCATTTGCTACAATGCTTCAGGTTCTCTTGCTTCACGTTCTGAACCCTAGTAAAGCCTGTTTGTATTCCACCACGGATGTCTGACACCGCTGGACCTCTGGCTCTCGTAAGACCTCACGACCCCCTCCTCCCTCCCCCTGAATCCTGGTTATGGTCTAATGCGGCAAAGTAGGCCTAGTTTGCCACTGCATTGACAGCTAATAATTTGCACCATTAAAAACATTCATTTTGGCTCTTTCCCTCTTTTAACTCCGTCTATATTGACCCCACCTTTTGACCTGGTCTCTCGTTTTCACTCTGTCCCTCCTAAATATTTTTAAACCTTTAGATCACTTATGCAAAAAAAAAATGACTTACCTATACTTGATATATTGTTTGTTGCATCGAAAACAAAATGAACGAAATTCGAAGATTGTATAAGAAGCAGGATATCGAAGATACCAGGACCCATGAGCGTCATCTCTGAGTGCCCATCTCCATTGGAAAGAATGTACTCCGAAAAGACTACAAGCAAAGAATAAACAAGCGCAAATCATTACGTATTCATTTCTACAATAGAAATGTTATAATTTGTTAAACGCATTTTCGACTACTCTGTATTTTTCCCCATACAGACGAACACGCGAACGAACGAATGGATGTAGTAAAAACCTTACAGGCAACATATTAGCTTTGTTGCTAGCTTGTGTATTAAACTGCTGTTATGGCTCAGTGCGGCAGCCAGAATCTCCTGCATTAAGTCATTTCTCTAGCTAAATCCAGAGTCATAGTGATATTTCAGATGCACTTTTAGATGTATAACAATCAATAAAATGTATCAAACTTTAAAATGTTCCGTATACAACATGGGTGTCCCAAATACTTCCTATATTTCAGAACTGGAGACAATGGCTTGCTTTTTGGTTTTTTTCTCCCTTTCTTTTTCTTTTCATTTTTCTTTTCCTTTCTTTATTACAATATTCTCAGAGAGGTAGAGACTATTCCATAAACAAAAATAATATAATAAATAAGAAATATCTATGCCTCACCTTTTGGTTTATCGAGCCAGTTAGGGTCCTTGTTAAATTCATAGGTTGCATGAAACCCTGGTCGGCTCGTAGTTGTGTTTGACCGGACCACATATCTAAGAGTAAACTTTTGGTCTGTTGCAGCAATTGGTGGTGGACGGGATTTAGAGGCAGCGCAGTATGTTCCAACTACGTCATTACCAATAAGTATCTGTTAATATCCAAATATTTTTAATGCATAATAAATGGTTGTATTAGTTAGTCTCTGGGTTTTGTGTGTGTGGGGGAGGGGAGGGCGTGGGTGGTGTAGTACAGGGTGTGTAAACAATAAAGAATGGGCAAATTGTGGTGCTAAAATTTGCTACAAAACAATCGATTATTCTATAATTAAACATTTAATTACTCATAATTATTTTTAATTTGCTTCATTAATTTTTAAATCGATTTACTTTTATATAATCTCCATCACCTAGGAGACAATCTGGCATCAATGACTCCTGTACAGACGATCCATATAAAAAGAAGTCTGAGAATACAATCCTGACGGAAAACTTCCTGGGATTAAGGATATATTCACACACATAGTTCCCGGCCGGTCGAGGAAGTGGAAATTTTGGTGAAGAGATGTACTCCGTGATTCCGGACCGAAACTTCGATGTGTACTGCTGACACTCTATAGATTAAAAGAAAAAATAATAATACCGTAACAATAGGCCTAATTGCAATCTTAATAAAAACAAGTTCTCGGAGTCTCTAAAGCTCCGATGAGGACAGTACAGTATAATAGAGGCAGTAGAACTATCTGCCTCTATTATACTGCCCTCATGACGAGCTCTAGAAACACTAGCCTGATTGATTAAGTTGATTAATTAATTGTTGTTTTTTTTTAGATTCTATTAATCAATCAAATATTAATCAATCAGCATCATGGGGGCAGTATAATAGAGGTAGTAGTGTTAAAAACGATCTATTAATCAATCGGTCGAGTGTTTCTACAGATTCTCATCGAGCTAAAAAATATGGTTTGCTTACGTAGAAAATACTCTTTCTCTCAAAGAATTGCACAAGAATGGAATACCGGTACTCTTCTAGAAAATATTATCTCTGTCCATATGTCCATATGTGAAGCGCTTGGATAACTTTCGGAGAGTTTAAAGGTGCTAAAAACCTAAAACTTACCCATATAATTATTTAATCTAATCTAATCTACTATAAATAAAAATTTAGATAAAGAGCATGAGTTAATGTTATGCACCGGGGCGATTGTACCTTTAGACATTGCTTACATTATGTAAAACTAGGCCCACGGTTAGCCATCTGACAATAATGTGATTTGACCAAGATCAATAACACTGATGCATTTCTGAGAGATATTTAAGTGATTCCACACCTTGAAGGTGACGTCAATATTGTTATTTCTCAAACTAATATCCACCACTCATGTCCTTACCCACAATGTTTTGTACATGCATGATCGATTCTTGTCAGTACATGTAGGATTATGTCTTGTGTATTGTCTCATGTTTTGTCAGGTGGAAGGAACTGTCACTTAGGCTTACATTGTAAGAGACTGACTTGCTTTTGGCAATCCTTCTGGTGACACATCAAAACATTTGTATTGACATAAAATGTTATATGAACAACACGTTAATAATGTGAACGACGGCCAGAATAATAACAACATCATAATTGTTCATCGCCGAAAGCAAGCATTAAGTTTACATTCATTGTGCGTGGTTTATTATCGATCAGTTCTACCCAATATCATAGAAAATTACATGTAAATTTAACTTTTTCGTTTCAATTCATTCACTCATCTTTATTCATACATTTTTTTTGTAAGGTTCAATTCTTTTAACTTAAATGTTCCGCCCCCAATTTTGTTCTTATTTATTTCTTTATCTTTATTCGTGCCGTTCTTTCACACGCTTCAGTTCGCTTATTTATCATGAAATTCATCGCATTGTCCATTCCGACTTGAAGTTATTATTTATTTAGTAAATAATAGGATTTGCCTAAAGCATTGTTACATTTGAGGATGGCAGTTGTACTGCAAAACATGTTTGTATCGATTTTTTTTATTTTAATTTAACTTAACAGTTAGGCATAATGGTCAGCTTGAAATCGGTTGTGATCTTATTAAGAAGTATCATAATTATTATCATTATTTTTATTACGATTATCATTATCAGCATTATGATCATCAGCAAACATTAGCATTTGCAATAGGCTATCATTATCACCCATCATCATAATCATCATTATCATTCTTCATCGTCATTATTATATGTTTGCATGTGCTAATATTTAGCATGCAAAACCAATCACAAGGCGGGGTACCCTGGATGCTTCATTTAACAGATATTCTAGTATGAATAAACGATTTAATGCTCATCCATGCATGAAGTCTTTATCTCCAAAATTGCTGAGCCAGTCGGATAGGTCAGGATGATTACATTTTCATGAGTGGATGAATGTGGGTTTACGAAAATTACATGTATGCGAGACTGCAACCTAACATACCCGCAATAGAAAAATATGAAAGAATAAAGTACTCCCTTTAAAGGAATTAAATGGTATCCTTGTAAACAAATTATAGTCAACATTAATAACGCATCCCTTTATCTCTATATATAACGGCTTCGTTCGTCTATTATTTACTAATACATATTTTTAATTGCTTCATTTTCTTTTGTTTATTTAGTACTTGTCTCTATTGATTAGACAGCGCGTACATTATTCCCCCAATATTAATATACAATCCGCTTCCAGATTGCTTTAGATATTAGATTTCACATCCCCAGCGATTTTTGTTGAGTGTGTTCTTAATCGTAGCGTGTTACACAAACAGTTGTTATAATAACAACTTGGCTAGGTCAATACAATTGATCTTTTCCTGAATATTGTAGCTATTCCAGTAGGCTACATTCAGATTTTAAGGATGGTCACAGTTTACGGAGATGATCAATGCACAATGGTGTCAACAGCATGCAGCTGAACATGAAGTAACTCTTCATAAAATTAGATAATAAATTATCATATATTTAATTTTAATATTTGCATCAATTAAATAAGAGAAATTTGTTTTTATTTTTTTATAAGTCAATCTAAGTACTCATGTGCTATTCACCAAGCGATCTGTATTTGAGCACTCAGTCAATAGCCTAATGCTCAGAGAGATGTCTGCTCAAGTAGGATACTTTCAGGGGCGGCGCCAGGATTTGTCCGACAAGGACCCGATTTCCCCGACAGGGGGAGGAGCGACTCCTCCCCCACGAGAACGGGCGTCGCTCAAAATCTCTAGGAAGAATAAGAATTTAAGGGTTTCAAAGGCTTATTTAAACGATTTTATAGTCTACTAATATTTAAAAAGAAATATATAATTGTTTTCTTCTCCCCGACGAAGTGTGTCTTTCTCCCCGGGTGGGGGGGGGGGGGCCACTGGCACCACCTCTCTATACTTTTGCTAGAGGAACCCTAGTGGTACTTAGCCATACTCAATACTAGTAGGCCTACTAAAGTATGAAGACGCTAACGTAGTATAATCATTAGCCACACTCAATAAGGGTCTGGCAACACCCCCATCAAGCAGTACTCCAGTATTGCCATAAAGCAATTTTGGATGAATAGACCTACTCAAGTAGCAAAGAGTGTATTATGAAGAGGCATACCAAAGGCAACTGAACCACTCCACAAGCTTAGCAGGGACGACAATAAATATAACTTTGCGATCTCCAGGCTCGCTGCATACATTGTCCGATTCTGCTCGTCATGTCAAGAATAAGAAAGCTTTCAAAGTTATTAAATCAATCTGAAAGAATTAATTGAATAAAATACATTATGTTTATATTAGAATTTAGGTAAATTTTACGGCAAATGAAATAAGATATGTACGGAGCATAACATAGGCATATACATTTCATTTGAATTACAGTATTAATTCGAGTAAACTTTCCCTCTAGAGCCTCATTTGGAATAACGCCTCCCACAAATAAACGCTCCGGGGCCGTTAATTTTTTCCTCGAATAAAACGCCCCCACATAAATACCTGCCTAAACCAAAAATAATGGAAGCAACATCATTCTCAAAACATCCTATTAATATTCTACTCCAGTATAATTTCACTTTTTCTAACCTGGTTGGGATCAATAGGCCTAAGTCTTTATGATCAACAATAACACATTTTGACGGTAATTATATGTTGTTGTTCCACATTTACAGTGAAATTAAGGGGCGTTTATTTGAGTATATACGTATACACTACAAAAATAAACGCCTCCCTCCAATAAATTCCCCCTCAAAAACCCTAAACAATAAACGCCCTGGGCGTTTACTCGAATAGCTATTCAAAATAGAGAGACTAGATATATGGAAGAAACAAATGCAGCCTATACACCAAAACAAAATTTTGTACTTTCTCTTAATTAAAATATAGTTATGTATATATATTAGAAATATCTCTATGCCATTAGGCCTACTCATGTCTCTGAAACACCTATTAAAGCTATGATTTACATTAAGTCAGTATACCTTACTTTTCACATTATATTTATATTTTCTAGCATAGATTTTAGTATTTATCAGCCTAATACAATATTAATGTTTAATAATATGAATATACCTCCTAAAATACCGAAAAGAAATATAATAATTACAAAAATTTTCATTATTATATCTACCATTATTAACTTCCTACCTTACAATCAGTAGACCATTTTTGAACGCAACTGTTCCCCCGGGTGTCAATTTTAATAATGAACATCTTTCTCATCTCACAAATCGATTTTAACAACTTTGTCAGCATCATCGTATTAATAACAGTGGATGATTGCTTAATAAACAGATAAGCACGGGAGAGCAAAGGAAGGTGGAAGAAAATGTTGTGCCCCCTCTATAGTTAAAATATTTGTTTGCCATCCATAGAGCTATTCTTATTATATTGTTATGCTTTAAGTTCTTTCGAATTTTATTAATGTATTTGACTTTCTGTAGTTAAGGTTCTTGTTTTGTATTTATATATATGGATGCACCACTCGGAAACGAGTAAGTGCCACTGATTCAAAGGTGATTCCTAATAAATATCAAATATCAATATCTCTATGCTCTATGTTGCCATCCAGGATCTTCTTCCATATACGCATGCGCTTGTAATGTAATATCGTGTAATACCAGCGGACCGAACCGACAATATGCTTTACATCGCGTCAACCTATGCTCATTCGCGTCAACATATATGCAAATTTGCGTCAACAGTTATTGTAATGTGCGTCAACTTACGTCAACGCCCGGTTGTCAACGCAGCAAAACTGTCGGTCGAACTAGGACTCCGAGGATAGCTAAGATCGTTCCAAAAAAAGATGTCGGGCATTAGCATTTACCGGTTGTCCAGTAAAGTTTCAAGAGTAAGTTGCTCCTCCAAGCTTAGAATCTAGACCTAGGCTATATATGAAAATACGATAACGTTCTGGAATGTTTTACTTGATTATTACAAATCATGCAACGTTATTATTTCAATGCTGTGCCCTAAGGCTAGCTAGGCCTAGCCAGGCTTTATTAGTTAGCCTAGCCCGGCCCCTGGCCTAGGGCGGCTGAGTTAGACAGCGAAGGGGAGGATGGTGTGACGGGCCCTGTCTGCATGCCGCTAGCGATTAGGTCTAGAGGCCTAGGCCTTTACCTAAAATATATTTTGCGCCGCTAAATACACTATAGCATCTTAGATCTTTAAAAAAAATAAACTTAAAGGAAGAAGTGATAAACAAATCAAGTTTGTCATTAGCCCTAGGTCTCTAGGCCTAGATCCTCGATTCGTGCCCTCACTCAACTACTTATTATAAATTGATTGCATGAATGAATTTATTTGACTTATTTTTACTCACATACAGTGCCCAGTAAATCAGGTCTAGTCCTAGGCCCTACAGTAGGCTAGTACAGTTAGTAGGATTTCTCTTGGGCTGGGCCTGTCACCATGGATTTATTACCAGAGTTCTCAACATAGTAAAATGCATTTCTGCAACTAGGCCTAGGGCTATGTCTTCAAAAATCTAGTAAATAAAAAAAAATTGGTAGCACTTAATAATTTTTCTTGAGTGCAAACTATGTTGCTTAAATTGCAGGTACAGTACAGCATTATACAGTAACAGCTATGGAATTTCAAACAAACTGGATAGGAATGATTTATGGTCAACTTTTCTTGGTTTTCACAGCAATTTATCAGTAATCTTACAAGTCTGAGTTGTCTAGGCACAATGTAACCAAAGATCCTGATGGAAAAGTCATTGTCTTGGATGTTAGACAATGTGTATACCTATTTATTTAGAACTTAGAAGTCTAATCTAGGCCTATGATAAATTTAAGTAGTACTTTTGTCTATTTACGTACCTCTTTAATTAGGCAAATTATACAGTTGACCAGTATACAGTACCAATACACCTATGCCATCTGCCTCTTGATCCCTGAATAAAAGGATATTCAATTTATTCATAATTTTGTTGTTCACAGCTCCACAGTCTGCGGCACTTTGGTAAATCAAACATACAATGCATAACAAGCTACAGAAGTTACTCCAATGGGAATGGTGACACCGATCTGGTGGTTATAGGCTCTGGGCCTGGAGGCTATGTTGCAGCAATCAAGGCTGCTCAGCTTGGATTGAAGGTAGGCAAACATATCGTATATTAAGATATCATTTATCTTTGTCATCCATCTTTTTGGCTGTAGGCCTAGTACAGGCCCCTTTTATCCACTTAATCCACCATGATCTGTAATGGAATGGCAGGATATATATGATGCATCTTCCTCAGGAGTCCTAAGTTGGAAGAAGCCCTTTCCCGGAGATCTGGTTAAATGAGATCTTTGTAAAATAAGATGAATTTTTGCCTGATAATACATGGAAACACAAAATCAACAATAACAATAACAATACAATATATATATTTTTTTCCTATCAGACTGTTTGTATTGAAAAGAATGCTACTCTTGGAGGAACCTGTTTGAATGTTGGCTGCATCCCATCGAAGGCATTACTCAACAATTCTTACTATTACCACATGGCACAATCAGACTTCAAAAGCAGGGGTATAGAAGGTAAGGAATTAAATAGTGTTATTAATCTATTATCGTAAGTCTACAGTACTATTCTTTCTATCATATAACAGGCTTCATGAGCTTTATCTGTTTGTCTCTACAAATTTGTTTCTTTATCCATATTAATGTACATGTTGCTTAGTCTCCTCACATACATATTATTTTCCAACTTAACAGCAAAACCAGAAATTTATACATTTGCTACGTTTCTAAATTTGCATTCAGATTTTTAGAAAAAATTTTTGTTGAAAGACATTATGGCACATATAAATTTTTTTTTTTAATCTAAAAAAGTATATCAAATTTCAACCAATTTAGTACCGGCAGTGCGGCACATATTTAAACATTCATGTCTGTATGTCCTCATGTACATCCTATTCCATGCTCTACTTACTATACTATGTAGTTTAAGTCTCTCATAAGCCATTATTGGCTGGCCTTTGTAAAAGGGTAAGATGTTATATAACAAATAAACAACAGCAACAGATAGTTGTTTTTAAAGTGAATACTATGGCTGCTCCATTTATTTTCAAAATGAGCAAGAAAAAAGTTTGAATCATAAACATGGGGGAAATGTGAAAGTATACTAAAATTTCTTGTTTTTTTATTACTAGTTGGAGAAGTGTCTTTGAACTTAGAAAACATGATGGCACAAAAAGCTGGAGCAGTGAAGGCCCTCACATCTGGCATAGATTATCTCTTCAAACAAAATAAGGTGACAATTTTCATTCTACTTCTCCATTTTTATATATTCAGCTTTATTGCCTGCCTACTATTACCTGTGGTAAGGTACTGCATTGTTAGCCTATAAATATATTTTGTGGTGCTAATACACTTAGTAGTGGTTTGTACAACTTTTATATTAGAAATTACATACATTCAAGTTGTGTCAAATTGAGGTCAGCTGGGCTTGAGTCTTATACTCTATCTTTTCTCTTTTTTTCTACCATATATTCTTGCATATAAGGCAATCAGCGTGTAAGACCTCCCTTGAGTTTGAGAAGATTTTTGGACGATTTTTTTATGTCGAGCATGTAAGATGAAGTACAAGGGCTAAGCCTGGTAAATTCATGGATTTCATTGTATGAGCATTTAAAAAGCATTAATTAAAACTTAACTGACAAATTTAACAACAACCGTCATGTATGGCATGCATATCTGGCTCGTCAAACGTATATGGTGACCATACTGAAAGTTAGTAGCTTTATTTCAGTATTAAATTTGTGTGTTACGGATTATTCGCACATACAACACATTTAAAAATTAGATGTTGCGCTTATAAGATGACCACTTGTTTTACGATTGTAATTTCCTATATTAATCATCGTCTAATTGTTTGTATTGATACTGTCAAGAAAGAGAAGAAAATTACATGGTGTTTTGATTGATTGGTTGATATATAAAAATCTTATGAATTTTCTCTCTGCAGGTTACTAAGCTAGAGGGTCACGGCAAGATAACTGGCCCCAACGAGGTCGCTGTTCTGCATCCTGATGGAAAAATCAAAGAAGTTGTCAAAACAAAGAACATATTAATAGCAACTGGCTCGGAAGTTACACCCCTTCCAGGAATTGAGGTATGTTCTACATCACAGTACATTACAGAGTAAAAAAAAAAACTTTACTATAACAACTTTGTTTTTTCAGGTGATTGTTATATGTGTAAAATTATGTTATTGTATGAATGGGTGTGCACAATTTTCTTGGTTTTCATGATGTTTTGTATTCCCAAATACTTAGGTCGATGAAGAGACTGTAGTATCCTCAACTGGTGCTCTAAGCCTGAAAGAAGTTCCTAAAGAAATGGTTCTTATAGGAGGTGGTGTCATAGGCTTGGAATTGGTAGGTACAGTTTGTACTATATATACTGTATATATTAAATTATAATTTAGCAAAAAGCAATCAAATTAATTTTATTTACTGCAACGATCCATATTTTTTGTGTTGCTCACACTGGAGCAATTTCAACACATTAGGCAAACACGATAGTATAATACATACTTCAAGTATCGAAATGCACGCCATCGTGTCGGGATTCAATATTTCGACATTAATTATGTCATCATCAGAAATGAAAAATTATCCATATTTGCATGCTTATATGCACAAGTACCAAAAGTGTTTGACCAATCAAAACATTACCCCTAGTAGGTGACATAGCTATGAATAAACTAAAGATCAAAGCATTCTTACCCTACTGTTCAAAGCTACCTACAAAAACAAACACAATTGGAATGGTAGTTTGAAGGTTGCTGATTCATATTTTCATTTATTTACATATCATAGAAGATATTTACTGTGAAATAATATAATAATATTGATGTTGTTTAATTGCTTTTTTAGGGATCTGTTTGGCAGCGTTTAGGGGCAAATGTTACAGCAGTTGAATTTCTATCGCATATTGGTGGTTTGGGAATAGACATGGAGATCGCGTAAGTTAATTATTTCCTTTTTTTTAAATATGCCATTAAAATTTATGATATCTGTGATGCTTATTGTATGTTATGTTTTAAATTAATAAATTATTGCTTGTAATTTCAGATTTTTTTATTTGTCTACCTGTCCTAATGTTTTTATATATGTTTATGTTTTTTATGTCTTTGAATAAATAAACCAGACAACAATGAAATTAATTTAGTGATCACAGTAGAAGTAAGTTAGTTTCTTGAGATTTCTTAAAAAAATATAAATTTCTATCAATTACTTTATGTTCCATCAGCAAGAACTTCCAACGTACACTAAAGAAGCAAGGCATAAAATTCAAAATGGAGACCAAGGTAACAAGTGCTGAGAGAACTGCAGATGGTATACAAGTGAACGTAGAATCAGTCAAGAGTGGCAAGACTGAACAAATTAGCTGTGATACCCTGTTAGTATGTGTAGGAAGGCGGCCGTACACAAGCAACTTGGGCTTAGAGGTGAGTAAAGATAAAGAGTAGCTTGTAGCTAAATGGTGAGGGTTATTATTTTCCAGTCTCATGGTCCTTAGTTCAATTGATGTGAAAATTTATCTTGCAACTAAAAACAAATTCACTCTCTATTCCTCCCATAGAAACTTTGTAGAGGATTAGATCCTCCATCTTAGAAAAAGCCAAATAACTGGCTGATAGATGAGAATTAATTGTAATTCTTTTATTTTATCTTATTTATTTCCAATTCAATCAATCAATCGATCAATGGTTTGTCAGTGGAGAAAATGGCATCCGGTTGAATTCATTTTATGTCGCCGATAGCAATAGAGTAGTATCACATGGTATCATGACGAAACACTGTAGTACTCTATAGTAATATATCACCACTTGCAGGATGGACATAAAACATATGCAGTCATAAGTTCTGTACAAACAATAAAATAAATAAATAAAACCAAATACATTTTCAATTAATATATATATTAGTTTAATAAAATGATTGTCATTATTTGTTTTAGGATGTTGGATTATCTGTAGACAGTAGGGGAAGGATACCTGTTGATTCTAGATTTGCAACCTCAGTTCCCAGGTAAGAATAACTGTTCTTGAATCATGCTGTGTCTTGGTAGCTTCCCCATTCCATCCTCTGGTCCAGCGTTCAATCCTAGCGGATTCAGGATCATAATCCTCAAAATGACTCATGTTGTATAAACCATCTCATAGTTTAACTTGCGCATTTGTATGTCAAAGGTCATCAAATTTACAAGCCTATTACAGGGCATATATGAAGTATGCATATATATATGTGCTGTGTAATAGGCTTCATTTCGGCCATTTCAAGGTAAAACAATGTAACTGCACAAAAATATAACAGCAGTTACGTTGTTTTGCCATTGGACAGCCAATTTCTTTCTTGTTATCTATGTCTTTGTCTTATGAGGCAGCCCTGTGAGATAATACATTAAGCCAGACTTTTTGCATTTTTTAGTCAAAACATGATAGTACAAATTTTAGATTTTTAAAATTATTTTTCCCCATGTTATACATTATGTATCAACACTATTGAAATTACATGATGCTAGCAAAAATCACAAGTTTTGGTGGAAAAAGATGATTGTGTAGTAGTTTACATTATTATATTATATTATTATAAGAATTTTTAAAAACTCAAGTTCATTTAATATGTTTGTGTATTGTATGAACAGCAAAATTTATATACTTGCAGCATATTTGCCATCGGTGATTGCATTGAAGGGCCCATGTTAGCCCACAAGGCCGAAGATGAAGGCATTATCTGTGTAGAGGGCATAGCTGGTGGCGCTGTTCATATCGACTACAACTGTGTACCCTCCGTCATTTACACTCACCCTGAGGTAGCGTGGGTGGGCAAGACAGAAGAGCAACTGAAGGAAGAAGGAATCAAATATAAGGTCGGCAAGTTCCCATTCTCAGCCAATAGCAGAGCAAAGACAAATGGTAAGTGAAATTTTTCCATTTTTTATACAAGATCTTCTGATGACATTTAATAAATGTACTCAATTTTCTCACATTTGTCTGTAGTAAAATCTAAAGCGCTGTCCAAACTATCAAATCTTATTTGACAAAAACATGTGACATGGCTAAATATGGTCATGATGACATCACACCTTGACCATATATAGGCACATCATGACCATATATCAGCACACAGCAGTTTTTGCTAACTTTGCCATGCCACTCTGGGTGCTATTTCACTGTTTGAACTTCAAATATGTCTTACAGTTCAGCAATATGTGGGTGTAATGCTTTTACATTTGAATTGAAATTAATTGAATGAATTCCTTGATTATATCCAGCTGACACTGATGGCTTGGTCAAGGTAATCGGGGATGCTGAAACTGACCGTATGCTGGGTGCTCACATCATAGGATCAGGAGCTGGCGAGCTAATCAACGAAGCAGCATTAGCAATGGAATACGGTGCATCATGCGAAGATATTGCGAGAGTATGCCACGCCCACCCTGTAAGTAATCATGTTATATTGTAATTTATTTTTTATTTTATTAAGGTTATTTTGTATGAATGCAATTGGAATAAATGCACTATTATTTATTTTGTATCTTGAACTTTTTTTCTAGACTTGTTCCGAGGCATTCAGGGAGGCGAACCTTGCTGCGTTTTGTGGAAAAGCAATCAATAATGTGTAAAATATATCTTAGTATGGACAGTTGTTAGCTTGTTTGCCAAATCTAATAGGGAATAGTAGAATTTATATATTATGAAGCAGCTCTATAGAACAAGACTGAATCTATATGCATACCCAATATGAATGTTTATTTGAAGTCGGGCATTCATTGTGTTGTACGACTACGGCTGTCGCTGGACAAATCCAAGCCCGCTCTCTGTAAACGCTAGACGACGTGACTCTGTCTGCTGATTGTCGGTGGCAGTCTGAAAGGATTGTCACGAAAAACGATCTGGGTACGTGTACGTCGTCATGTCGCGTTCTTCATACAGTCGCGTCGGCAATGAGTGCCCTGTGTTACACGAAGTTCATTATTATTCATATACTTCAACTCCAGTGAATATCCCAACAATATGCATCTAATAACTTTGAAATAATAACTTTACTTGCTCTACAGATTAAGTTTTTTAGCTTTGTTTTGTTCGTTCATGTTTAATTATTCCGTAACGTTTTATTCAACAATGAATACCTTGTCATGGGACAAAACACAAATTAGTGTGAAAAGAAAAGAGCTAAAAACAAACACTTTACACATTACCTAATGAAAAAGGAAGGATGCCCACGGCACATACTGCTGTTCATCCGTGCATGTTTTTTTTTTGTTTTTTTGTTTAAATATACATGTATCTGCTAATGATGTATTCAGGGTGAAGAGGAAGACTTTAGGATCCATCCAGCCCTATTTACATCAGACCCTGACCCTCTTGCATTTTCTGTCTTCAGCATTCCCATTTGTTTTATCAAGCCAGGCACACATTGTGTCGGCTGACAGTTGAACAACCGATGAATCTATCTCCGCTCTATGTGAACGCTTGTAGACACAATGCTGTCTGCTGGTTGTCAATGCAGTCCAAGTGGATTTGTCATTAAAAGCGACCATCGACATGGTGTGTACCAGTCTTCAGTTCCATATGTGGCATGTTGCTATTAAACCTGACAATGGTGCAAATTTATTATTTTGAGAAAATCAATAATATAAGTTTTGCCTCAATATTAGTTGATTTATGGGTTAACCCAAAAAGATGCAAACTATTCTAAAGCTAATTTTATAGACTACATAATGGTTAAAACAACTTAAAATATTTTTAGACTGTATAGTTTGAGGTATGGGTTCAATAGGCATAATTCTTAAAGACCAATTAAAATGATGCATTTTGAGTTGCTGATAATTGAAGTATTGCATATGTTTATCAAAGGAGTAGTAATAAAATTCTTATTTTTTGGTTTATAAATATTAAAAATTAGTATTAAAATTAATTTATTTTAGTATCAAATTAATTTATTTTAATTAACATCACATACAGTATGAACGTACAGTATTGAGGTATGGGATATGAAAAAGGCAGGAACTTCTTTACATAATCTACTCTATGATCATCTGTTTGAAGAGTGTGTCACCTACCTTCCTTTACGACCTGGATGTTCTTGAGCGTATAAAAAAAATAATAGCAGATGTGGTGTACCATGTTGTATGTTGAATTGTAGCATTGTTCTACAGATAAATAAATCTATTAATTTCAAATTTCATATCTGTGGTTTACAATTAATTTTTTAAAAATTTGTAAGCAATCATTATTATAATCCTGAACTATCTGTTCTGTGAGTGGCTTTGATCATGAAGGTGTAAACCAGTTCTGGGACCCAGCAGGAGCATCAGTGAGGACCCCCATCGGACCTTGAACCGCATTCATGGAGGTTTGAGTGCCATTTCTGACCATATAAAGTTGCCCAACATTTGCTCCAGCCTAGTGGGATTGAGGTGGGTTGGGGATCCTAGACCTCTCAATGGGGAACTTTGACTCCTGTTTGGTGACCTTGGACCCCTAGTTTGGAATATCTGGCACCACCATAATACTGTACTTGTCTTTTTGAAATTTCAATTATTCGTATCGCTGTGATTGTATGACGTAGAAACTGTAAAAACAATATCTTGGGTATAATATTTAATTTTCATATTATTACAACAATGCAAAAACATAGCTTGTAAATTCAATGAAAAACTAACTGGATAATTAGCAAAAAATTATAATTGGTACATTTATTTACCTTATATACACAAAAATCATCATGAAGGACTAACAACAAATTTTAGGGGCAAATTGCTATTAAACGGCTAGTCTTACAATGAGATCTTACAATAGTTCCCCCATTGCTATAATTTAACTGGGCCTTCTTGTTTTCTCCAAGAGGTTAAGCATAATGATAGCTTATATACCTAATTATACACCCCTCTGAGTATACATACATTACAACATTTATATAGCTCTATTTTATGATGATCAGAGCACTTTCCACTTTTTTTTTCTCTGGTATTTATACTAATATTCTGTAGGGGATGAAATTTAATATACAATAGTATGTTAAACAAAATAGCCAACTATAGTTAAACCTCCAGTACAGCAGTACAGACCATTACATACTTCACATACATAGCAATCTGCCCCAGATCAGTTTGTTACCATGCATTGGAAACTACAATTATTGTTCAATTTTGTAACTGCGTAAAATTATAATATATCCACCTGAAAGTACACACTGCATAAAAATAAGTAAATGATAGAAACAGTTCTCAAATATAGGAACAAAATTATGTTATGATCATAATATCAAGTATAACCATTCAACAAAAAGTTTTATATCAGTTGTATAAAAAAACTCCTCCAGCTGGAATTTAACCTGTGACCTCTTACTCTGTAGGTGAGTATCATACCACTAGAAACTTGTTAGTATTCTATACCACAAAAGATTAAAATAAGATTTCTTTCCATATATACATTCTTTTGATAATTATCCAGTGTGACATATAAGAATCAAACAATAAATTATTAATGCGAATCCAAATGTTGGTTATTAGTTTAATATCAATGAATATATTGTTTTAATCCATATTTTAAAATATATGAATTTACTGCAATTATATCTTAAAACAGTATGGAGGAGTAGCAACTGTAAAATTTGAAGCACCTACTTTGACTAAATCTAATCACTTATAACAAATTATCAGATCAGATTTGGAATTACAGCCTCTTTCTTTTTGCTACCCCTTGTTTTATTAATTATAGATCCATAATTAGAAAACATTTCATCACATTTTGCACTTTGGATAGAATTGTGTTGGCTCATTGTCCGTCAACAAGGCTGGCTTTAGAACAAATGGCACAATTTACACATTTGCTAGTTGTGTTCCTTGAGTTGTCACCCACTCAACCTCCCACCAGGGGAGTTTGCTAGTAGTGCAGTAAGTACACCTTGAGAAAATTTCATTCTAAATCATTGCATCCTACCAGGTAGGGCTGAAGCCTAGTTCCTTCAATCATTGTACTGTACTCTGCCGTGATTCGAAAAAACGCATTATATCCATTTTTGAGAATTTTGAGATTGTTGGCTTAGGGGCATCCTATGGATGTAATCTATCATGTGAATTGATCATATACCCCAAAAAATGTTTATAAATATGAAATTAATTTGAGAGTTACGCATTATATCCATCCACCAAAGCAAAAAAATCCGGAAGAGTGCATTTTATCCATCAAGCATTGAAAAGGGAGTAATCAACCAATCACAAAAGACAATGATGCATATTTAATTAGTTCCATAGCTGGTGGAAGGGCATAATAGGGCATAATACAAAGTTTGTTTTTGATCAGAGTGCAAATTAATAAAAGAAGAATGCATTGATCATCTTCTTTTAAAGAATAAGTTGCAATATGACCATGATCAAATTGTGGCCAAAATATAAATTTTAGTAATTATTATTATAACTAAGACCATTCAACAAAAAAATAAAATACATACATATCAAACTTAAAAATGTTTTACTTAGACTTTCCAATTAAGCCAATGCTTGGAATTTAGATATAATACTTATGCTAAATTTACATTTAAAATATTTAGCTATATTTAAATGAGTACACTTCCTTATAATTTAAGGAAACAAAAATTTATAAATGGGCCTGAAGAAGTCTGTTTAGAAGTTGGGTATTTATTTTTTGTTTATTAAATTGAAAGGCGGGTATTCTTCATAGTGAATTTAAATAAACTGATTATTTATGTGGTAAAAACTTACTAACAGTGTTGTTGCTTGTTCTCTCTGTAGTGGAATGATAGTATTTAATTTAAATTTTACATGTACTAAACCATATTTTAGGGGGAAATATAACATTTACTAAATCAGATCAGACACATTTTGTAAATATTTTATGAGAGTGAATGCAGTAATTTTGCTAAATAATATAAACAGAAACCTAACAGAAACCTTTAAGAAACTTTCAATTTTGTTTTGTTTTAAGTTATTTAAACATAATTGAATTTAAACCTCTAAAGTCCTAGTAAAAATTCACTATAATTTGTTATTTTTCATTGGTCCTTAAGTAAAGAATAATGCATGCATTCTGCTGGCAAAACTGGATATAATGCCTAACATCAGATTTTTCATGCTTCATTGGCTTTTGTTTTAATTTGGAAAAGCGCATTATGTCCATTTTGATTGGGTTATAGAAAAAAAAATATAAAAAAAAGTATTTCAGTATGTTTTTCTGTTAGTAGTTAGTACATTTACACAAAAAATTCAATATAATTCATTTCCATAACAAAAGGCTAACAAGAAACGCGTTTTGTTCAATATCTTAAAATTATGATTTTGGCTTATAATGCGTTCTTCCGAATCACGGCAGTAACTGCGTAGCCGTCCTCGATGCAATTGAGAAGCTCCCCGATTTGACCGACCAATCAGCATCGAAAGCTGTCAGCAATAGAGTGTAGCAATTGTATGGAAAGCAAGCTTTAAAAATATGTAACCTGGTGGAAAGAAATGAACATATAGATAGTCTCGCCAGAAATAACAGTGTGCTTAGCATTACAATCGAACTTGCAACCTGTCAGTTGGAAGCCCGACACCTTACCGCTGTTTAACACTTTCCCAAAGATATGTGTACACCCATTTATGAAATACATTTTAGTGAATGATCCCATCAGTCCTGAAATAACCTCTTTCTATTGTAATTAGATGATATTTATAGTAATTGACAATATTTTCAACTGTTATAATCAGATCTGGTCCATATTTTCATAAATAAATTATGATATGAAATTGGATAATTCGGGCTACTGCATATCAAAATGTTATGTTACTAATTGGCTAGAATAATTAATAATAATTAACTATAGAATTATACAGAAATAGATTGGATCTTGCTTTTGAAAAGGTAAAACCTTTTACTTGTCAATTAAATTATCTTTTATTTACAAATTACTCTTTCTTATTATTAAATGCCTGCTTATAACTATAAAGGAATCTGCATAGCATTCCTTGAATCTTTTATAGAATCACGTTGCCTACATCATTTTTGCTGCTCCATCCTTTTATTTTGCAATATATTCATCAACTGCTGGAAGTTTCGTATGTGTTCTCCATTGATGAAACAAAATGATGAGAAAGAAATTTGTTAACATGATTAGGCATCCCTTGAGTCTGGTACAGAATCAGGTTGCTGCTCATCACCTCCAGAGGAAGTTGGAAGAACAACAGACTTGCTGGTGAAGTCTGCTCCAGCACAGTTTATCTTCTCATTTTGCGATGTATTCATTGACAGTTGGACATTTTGTAAGTAAAAATTTCCTGGTGGCGGTGATGCAAAATGATGAGAAAGAAATTGTGGTGAGGCCACAAGAGAAGGATCTGGAATTAAATTACCATCAATTTCTGGAGTTGCAAAAGGATTGACGGAGTGGCAGGACTCCGGCGTCTTCAAACAATTTGGTTCCTGATAGAGAGCATCGTTTTGACAGCTGGGATTTGAAGATAGATCAGATTGTGGTTTATTGTGGTTTGTGTACTGTACCTCAGCACTTTTGTAGTTCTCTTGTGCAAGAGGAAATTGCGGACGCTGAAAATTCTGATCGCCAGACTGAAGCATTCCAACAGGAGAACAACCACCTTGATGCGGAACTCTATGACATGGATTCTGATTGTTCTGTGTACGGACATTTTTGTCAATGCTTTGGGCCTGGTCAAAGCTGCTGCCAGTCGTTGGCATAGAGGAGTCGTATAAATGACTGGTGGGCACAGATGATGGTGTTCTAACGGAAGAATTGGGAGTTGCCTCTGTGGAGTATCCGTTGGAGTACATCTTGGATGTGTTTAGACTGCTGTCGCTGGATTCGCACGGGCCGTATTTATGCCACATGCTTATTTCGTGTGTGTCAACTCTGTTGCCGGAATTTGTGAACATCTGAGAGTTATTATGCATTCCAATGTGGAGACCTTCCAGTTTCCCTCGTAATTTCTGTGACTCCGAGAGAGACTCATTGCACTCGGTTTTCATCTCGTTTACGCTCTCCTGCACTTGACCGTTTGTGGAGCCTGTCACCTCATTTTGAGTCAAGGCCGGCTTGATAGTGCAAACACTCCCACAAATACTATTCATTGGTGATTGCATCATTTGGGCTCCAAACAAACCATTTTGTCCTATGGAGTTAAATGACAAAAGTAGAGACATAAAATGAATGATTTATTTTTATGGTTATCCAGTAATTGGCTATCATAGATTATGTAGCCTTACTTAACCTATATTTAGACGTCTATAAGTGCTTGAGTAGCTGTTACAATGAGAGAGAGCAGGTAGTTTTGCATTTGCCCAACCCACTTGATGATTGTATCTCAAATAACATTTTCATAGTATTTATTTGAGAAGCATGATAGCTGAGAATGACATGGTATGTCGAATCGCAAAATCGGAACCAAAAAAAAAATGAAAAAATTGCACTCCTCAAGCCAGATGAAAAAGTTTTATGATGATGTTGATCATGAATAAAAAAAAAATTATAAAGAATATGTATATGAAGAAATAATAATATAATAGAAAAATAAAATGCAAAAGACAATTAGAAATACTGTATACCTTCTGTAGGTTTCAGTGCCATCCTACGTCTACACTTCTCATTCAAATTATACAAGTCATCTGCAACCTTAAAAAAAAAAAAAAAAAACAAAGACCGATGTAGGTTTTATTAAATTAACTAAAAACCAGGATAGACTGAAAAATTTAATATTTTACTAATCTAGGTGGTCAAACCTAACCCTGTAAGATTTTGGAAAGGCAGTGTACTTGAGGTATGGATTGAAGCCCCTACCACAAGGTTGAAAAGCTGAATCGCACCCAATTAATTGTCTAGCATTTCAAACATTTGTACATACACAGTTCTATTGGTTTTTTAATTAAAATAAAATTACAGGTCTACCTCTAATTAATGACCACCTCCAATTAAAGACCATTTATCTGTGGTCCCAAATTAACAAATGTATTTTATCTTTATTATTCTAATTTGAGACCAAAGTTGCTAAAAACCATGGAAACCCTGGTCCCAAAAATGGTCTTTAATTGGAGGGAGACATGTATCAAATAAAATTATTGCACAAGAATGTATGCACTCTCAGTGTATAAATCTTGTCTAGGGCAATGGTGTCTAGTTAGTACCATAGAGGCAAAGTTAGTCCAGTTTTCATTACTGAACATAGGGAATGAGCTGTTAGGAGTCAATCGTAGTAAAGCCTTGTCTTTAATTAGCTTAACGATTTTCACAAATGAATGAAAACCTACTTTAATCATCTCTGGACGTTTCTGAAATTTGTCAGCGATGCATCTAAAGGCGATTTCTAGGAGATCTCCCGCTAGATCCCACGGCCAATTTGCACACTTTGGGTCTCTCAACTTCTCAATTATGTCTTCTAATGCGGTGTTGTGATCCTTTGTATAGTAAACAAGCTCAGTCTGTAAGGAACATAACAGGAATGTTACACTAAAATAATAATATATGAATAATAATAATAAGCACCCTATAAATATATCTCAGAGCACAGTTTTTTTTATTTTTTTATTTCAACCATCTTTAAAGAGGGTAACCCTTCCAGTTTAGCCCAGTAGGTTAACTGATATTCAGGGGCCCTCTTTAATAAAATCAAAAAACAGTACAAACAACATCATTACAACATAATAATAATAATAATAATAATAATAATAATAATAATAATAATAATAATAACATACAATCCTCATAACAACTCTTAAAAGTATTAATTGACTTACATAAAGAAAATTCAAAATAGAAGTTTAATTTAAGCCTAATATAATATAATGTAATATAATATAGTATAATATAGAATAAAAATCAAATAATGTAATAATAAGAAGAGCTCAATAAAACTGCAATAAACAACGGCTAAGAGTTTAAAATATATCGTTTTAACTTAAATTTAAATGTATTTTGCAGTCCCGGAGCTCAGTTGGTAAATTATTATAAAAATTAGGACAAAGATAACTAAATGCACGTTTAAAACATTGCAGATTGACTTGGGGTTACTACGATACATATAAGAAAACACTGCCAACGAATACTTTTTTTAAAGTTTTTCAGCCTTCGGGCTGCTTGCTGTGCCTGTTGTATACCTGAATAACTAAAAAAAATTTTAAAAATGCATCATCACCAATAGCCTACTTTCAACACCACTATCATTATATAATACAGTACAAGAATAAACTCTCACCAAAAGCTGGTGTCCACGTGGCTCTCTCTTGTCATCGAATGCTCTCTGTCCTGTTAACACTTCCAAAAGAACCTTAAAAATATATTTTAAAAAACCCTTTTAAACATAAATACATTTCTTATACATTTACCTCCTTCTCTACTTAAAAACATAAAGGTCTGAAAGATAGATAAATAATTAAATCCTTGCCGAGCCACTAAGGCTCATAGGGCTGGAGCTTATTCCCAGTTTCTGTAGGGTGAAGAGGATTAGAGTGTGATACTCCCCTTGGGTGGGACGCTGGTTTACCGCAGGTTACTCCCAGCAACTTGCTGGTACCTATTGACAGCTGGGTAGATGGAAGCAATGTAGATAAAGTGCCTTACTCATGGACATAAACAAAATGCACAGAGAAGGATTGAAACCCCGACCTCGAGGTTAGGAAACCAAACCATTCCCACTGCACCAAACCTTCCTCCAATAGATAAATAAATATATAAAAACCTACCACGCCAAAACTATATACATCAACTTTAGTAGATAGCTTGCGATTGCGTCTGTATTCAGCAGGCAAATATGGCAGCGTACCGTGGGCCTCTGACGTTTTCATTATAGTGTACAGCTTTCCACCAGTTGGGCCATGGCGAGCTAAACCGAAGTCTCCAATCTTTGGGACAAAGTCTTTACCAAGCAAAATATTTGCACTAATAAAGATAAAAACGTTACCATGCCAATAAATGTAAAAATAAAAACATCATAAAAAAATATCTTAGATTGGATTTTACACACTAATTAATGAAAGTGGGGTCCTTCCCTACACCGGGAGACGATAAACTGTTTAAAAAAGGTGCACTGTATTCTTTTACCTGAATTTCTGAATATTATTTTTTGATTATCATACCTTTTGATGTCTCCATGAATGAGTGGTTTTTGAGGTTGAGCAGAGTGCAGAAAGTTGAGTCCAATAGCTGCTCCTAGCACAATGCTATGCCTTGTAGCCCAATCAAGAGGCTTACGTCCATCCTTGTACAGAAAAATGATAAGTTATCATTTTTGTGCTTTCATATACTCTGTGTATCCTCCACAACATTTAAACACACATACAATCTTGAATGTATGAAGCTTTTGAATGCTGACTGTTTCCTTGGTTTACATTTTAAAACAGTTTGGAACAGTTTGTGTCTTTGGGTTCCAATTAAAAGGGTTAGAGTTTGAAGAGGCTGGTCATAGATAAAACATTTCATCTACATATTTCTTTCTTTATGTCTGTACCCAGAGCTCGCCACAGATAGAAAGGGGTGGAATCTGATCAATGAGGGTGTAAACAGTAAGCGAGCACACGATCGCAATTATAATGTATCTCTGTCTCTTAAATTTGAATGGTTTAAAATGAATTTAGTGTAATGTTGAATTAACTACGTTGCATTGCATGTGTCCTTGGCCAAGGTACTTTACTTATGTTCAGTGCCTCTCTCCACCCAGGAGTATAAATGGGCACCTGGCAGCATTAAATTGTACGCACATCTAGGAATATTATTATTGTTATTATTATTATTATTATTATAATTACTATTAGTATTTTTATTATTATTATTATTATTATTATTATTATTATTATTATTATTATTATTATTATTATTATGTATACAGTATTCCTCGGGGAGCAGAAGAGGTCACACTGTGTATGAATAACAATTATGTCATATCACACCCACATATGGGCATAATAATGTTATATTACACCATTTAAATTGACAAATATCTTATCTCATAAAAAATGATAGTGTGGCACAGGTTAACATTACCATATAATATGATCTGTTACATTACATTTCTCATGTGTTAAGTTATACTCACCCTGCCCTGGAGGTTATCTTCCAAGGACCCATGTTCACAGTACTCATAGAGGAGACAGAGTGATGGTCCATCTATTGAGTAGCCTAGCAGTGGAACAATGTTTTGGTGTCTATACCTGCAACAAAAATAAATTGTAAAATGTTTTCTTAATCTCCGAGTTCAAAAGAAAAGTCAAAATAGTAAAGTAGTCAGCATTTTTCTCATCTGTCTCTTATACACATCTAGATGTGTATAAGAGACAGCCTTTACAAAGATAAGAAAAAAACAAATAAGAGGGAACAAATTTCTTCATAATGGTGGCCTACCTGACCAAAGCTGGTATTTCTTTCAATTGATCTGCACTTGCAAACTTCTCTGCATCATATCCCATTTCAGATTTCTAAATTTTTAAGAATGCAAAAAAAGGTTAGATTTACTTGATTTGTAGGATAAATTGTTTTTTAAATTTTAAGATCTTTTTCTGTGGCAAAATTGAAAAAAAACAAAAACAAACAATGTTGCCTCACATACCTTCATTTTCTTGACGGCAAAATCAGATAAATCTATCGTGGCATAGTAAACGGTGCCAAAAGCACCTTCTCCACGCTTATACTTGTCGCTGAAGTTTTCCGTTGCATAAGCGATTTTATCATATCGGAAACTATTCAGATAATTTAATGCTTTCAATGCTGGAAAGACAAGATATACAACATATACTTTATATAATCAAATAGTAATATATAATATAATGTTTATATTAGGCGAATCAATTGGTCACATTTGTTTTGTTGGAATAACTGGAAATTAAATATTAGATATAGATGTGGTCTTATTTTTACTTGTGTGTGGTACCTTTTTTGTGAGCCTACAATAATAATAATAATAATAATGGTAGACTTAAATAGCGTATTTGTTGAGTCCTCTATGTGCTCCACATTATCATTTCCCCGAGAGATACAGATAAGTCGCTTTAAGTTTATTTCCATACAATTTTGATATGACAAATACCTCTGACTTGCATGAATCACTAATTCCCAGATATAGGATTTTCATTTTTTTAACCATACTTATAGAGGTTGACCATCCAACTTATCCTAGAAGGTTGGCTGACAGTGGCAGATCTGGGAATTCAAAATAGAGGAGCCCCATGGAGGGAATTTCACAGACAGAGCATACCACCTTAGCCCCACCATGGTTGGGGCTGAGGTAAGAAAATTTATTATTATGGTACCTCTATATGCCCTGAAATGGCACTCTCAGACTTAAGTTTAATTTATAACTTTAATTTTTACTCCATTTTAAAATTTTATTTGGGGGTGGGGAGTGGGGAGAGGCCAGCCCTGCTCGCCCCCCCCCCTCCAAATCCCACCACTAGCTTTATACTAGCAGGGTACCTTTAACACCTCTTGTCTTCTTCCACTCTTTGGATCCTCTGAATAATTGATGACACCATGGAGGAAATATATTAATTTCCTCCATGATCACACTTACTTGTAGGTGTTGACGAAGTACTCTGGTTGTCAGATGAGGTGACATGGCGGTTGAAGCGGGAATCAAATTCTGGGGACATTAAATCCTTGTTACACTGAGTATCCATGTTTGGATACATGCAATGTGCATCAGCAGGTTTTGAGTAGTACATGCCATTGGGGGCAGGAATTTCCCCACCAGTCTGAGCATAACGTGTGCCATTCCATGCGTGTTCCACTGGCCTATGAGGATTGGGGTCATAGTAACCATGATTAGGGTACGGATTTGCATTTGGCATCTGAGGCAATGGAGGGCCTGGCAGTTGTGATGGATCCATATCTGAAAAATTAGATTTTATCAGGTGACATTTTAATTTAATAAAAAATAAATAGAAGAATGTTTTGTACAGTACTGAAATATTTATTCACAACTATAAATAGATGATTGAATGGATGGATGGATAGATGGAAAGATGAATGAATAGATGGATGAACGAACAAACGAATGGAACAAAAAAAAGGTAAAGGTTAGGAGAATAACCCATAAATTGCAGCGTCATTGTGCTGAATTGCGTATGGGCATGGTCTGGGACTATCTAGCAGCCGCAGCTATCTAAAGTGGCGCTTAATAGTAGATACATATTCACATCATTCCTCTACGACAGGGGCTGCAATGAACCATAACATCGGGGTAACCCTTACTCTTCCGAAAGATGCAATGGGTTCTTTAAAGTGCACACGAGCCAGATGTATACACTGGCTTCATTTTAAATCCTTATCTGAGAAGACTTGGTTCTACCAACCGATCCATTGGCGAGGAGCGGCTGAAACTAAATGGATGAAGGAATGGACAGACAGATGAATGAATGAATAAATGAATAAATTAATTAATTGATGAATTAATTAATTTTAAGGGAATATTTATGTAAATTGCCATGTCTGAAGATTGAATTAAACTTGAAAAATGAGATCCACTTAGTTTACCTGGGAGAAAATGTATGCTTTGCCTATCTTGTGGATATTTTTCGCAAGGTTTTGGCACAATCCCACGACACAACTCAATCTTATAATGCTCCTTCTCATCAACTACATTTTGGAACAGAAAACAGGAAGAGAAAAATGTTTAATTATTATTTCATATATTTATTATATAAACATTTTTATTGCCACAATATCTATTTAATTTCATGTAAAAAAAGGCAACATCAATACTGAGTAGCTGCAGTATCCTACTTATAAGTGTACTAGTATGCAAAGGTCAACTTATAAACAGCCATAACCTATATAAAGATGATTTAATATGCACTGCAGAGCTTAGTAATCTCCAATACATATTTGAAGGGTTCATTGTGGAACCTTGGCTACCACATTATATTGTTGGCCTATCTGACTTTTAACATTAGTATTTAGGCAAGATTTTTTCATGCTTTGTTTAGTGAACCCAGCGCCCGCCAATAATGATGATTTCAGATAAAATAAAAATTTTATTTTCGGCCAATTAGCCAACCCACTGCCACAAAAAATTGAAATTTCAGAAAAAAATTCAAGTTTTTCTTTATTTTTATTACGCCTTCCATTGCCTGAAAATCTAAAAATAAGATATGTATATTTCTTCCCAATTATATAAATTTTAAGCATTTAACCATCCCATTACTACACTGTTTACATTCAACAATAACATTTTGTTTTTATTTTCTCCTCCACCTGGATGTTTTGGCAAAAACATTTGCTACAGTAAATAAGAAAACAAAATTTTATTTTTATTTTTTTTCACACTCCACTGATGATCTTAAAAAAGATAAGTTGGCAAAACAAAGTATTTTGTGTGAAATCAGTTAATAGCTTCAGTGGCGGATCCAGGAGTTAAAAATAGAGGGGGCCCGGGGAGGTACTTTCACAGATGGAGGAACTATACAACCTCAGCCCCACCAAAATTTGTGATTATAGCACCCCTAGATGGCCGGAAATTGCACTAAAAATTTGAATATAATTTTCTTTTTATCGCCATTTTTAAAATTATTCAACAATTTGGGGGGGGGGTGCCTAGGTCTCCTTTGTAAAGATGCTTGGAACATCAAGGTAACGTATATTCAAAATAGAATATAATCACTAATAAGCGCCATTGCCCATACTTGAGAGTGGCACTTAAGGAAAATAATTATGTCTGGAGGGGCGCTTTATTTAAGGGAAATGCTTATTCATGAGAGAACACCAGACAGACACTGGCAATGAAGAACAATTTATGTTGTTCAGAATAACATTTTTTCATCTAATGTACTGCAGTAAATAATATGATCAAATCATTTAAGAAATTTCAAAGAAAAAAATAGAAATTTTAAGAACTGACATTTTAAAATGCATGAAAGTGAAACTAATACACATGCTTATACAGTAATGTCGGAAATAGATTCTTTGTTATTTGATGATTAAATATCTAGCAATTCATACAAAACTACAATACAATAATAAACAGTACAACCAGAAAGCTTCTTTACCACGTAGTCAGCTAAAATAGCTGTTTGAAACTAGCTTTTACAAACATAAGCTGTATTGTCGTCCAAAACTCTACAAAGCCAGACTGGATACTGTCTGACCTTTGTTTATAGCTCATTTATCCCTCTTTGTACATCTTAGAATCCACATAAGATAAAAACATAATCCTCATGAAATACATGTATACGATACATACATACGAACTGAACGTTAGATGGTGGCCACACCAGTTTGCTTGTATATTAACTGTCTTTGCTGTGACGACTTTTTTGTGACAGCATTCCAGTCATCGACAACTGTTCTGGTACATTGTATATATTTTTTCAAATATTACTTTTTTATGACTACGATGTTTCGGAACAGAACTGCATGCTGGACATTGCCCCTCCTTCTTCAATAGCCTGTCAAATATCTTGTGGACTTCAATACAACAGAGCAGTAGTGGTGCCAATGGGAGGGGGGGCCTTTTTCCCAGTCGAACAAGCCCGGACCCCCCATCGTTCAATGCCATGACAAGGTCGTTGGACCAAAAATACTAATTTGCCTATTCAAATAATGATATGATGATTGTTAATTACTATTAGTGTGGTCTAAAAGCACAATTTGGGCCATAATAATAAGCGATAAAAACTCTCCCTATGAACCCTACCAAGGATCTTCATTCCAGACCCCACATTTCAGACCCCCTGTCGACAAATTTCTGGAGCCATCACTGGCACAGAGATGAAGGAGCACACAAGCTACCTAGCATTTAAAACCAGCATCAATTGAAAGAAGAGGGGCGGTGGGATATATAATGCCAGCAGCATTATTTTAAAACATGGAGAAACATGGCAGTCACCATAAGTGTATTTCCAATATTTTTAAACAAATAAACCAATTAGTTGATGTTAACTTATGCTAGCTTTCGTCTTGTTGTAAGCAAGACTTCATCAGGCTGAATGAGTTGGTTATTTCGATGTTTGTGAAACGTCAGAGTGTGACGACTCCCATCCAGCTCATTCAGTCCTGATAAAGTCTTGTTGACAACAAGACAAAAGCTAGCGTAAGTTAACTTCAACTAATTGGTTTATTTGTTGAGAAATATTTGAAGATGAAACTACTCTATCATAGTCACCATAAGATTGTACACTCTAGTAAAAAGGTTTCAAACCATCCAGAAAATATATCTTACCGGTAAATTTTTTGTTGATTAAAATGAAAATTAATGTTTACACCTACATTTTTGTTCTCATTATACTGAAATATACCACAATATTTTTCCAAGTGCGAACAGCCGTAAAATTGAGTCAATGGTAAACCTATCCTTAGTCTTTATTAATTATTTAATTCAATAAAGAAAAACCAAAAAACAATCTTTAAACTCTATCTAAATTATTAAATTTTTCCTGACAAAAAACTGTTGCATGCCAATACAGTATATAGTCATTATGTGCCTGTATATGGATGGTCATGATGTAATAATAATAATAATAATAATAATAATAATAATAATAATAATAATAATAATAATAATAATTACTTGAAAACATGAAACTTGATTACAGCAGTCATAATCTCCATATTTAGGCTTGTCACATGTTTTTGTCAAATAAAATTTGATAGTTTGGACAGGACATTGATTATGGACATAAATTGCTTGGGGGGGGGGGGGCGGTGTTTATGTTCACCCAGCAGCAAGAAAAACCAGTAGCTGAACAAAGGGAAGATGAGCTCCTCAGAGTCAACGGCCAACCATTAATTAATTTAGGGAATAGGAGTAGTTTACCTCATCGTTATTATTATTATTATTATTATCATCATTATTACTACTGTATTTGTATTTTCTTGGTGGGCCTATATTAATTCTGTGTAAAGTGCATAGGGGCAATGTGCAATATGCGCTATATAAATATAACATCATTATTATTATAAACAATGATTTCATCATACCATAATCCATGATAATACTCATAGCTCTGCCATGCTTCATTTCATAAAGACTGTTGTAGAGTTCAAGGATTGTGTGGTTCATGTAGTCCCAAGTACGTAACATCATATGTGTTGGGCTGCCATTAGGACGATAAGATTCCAACGTTAATCCATCAATTTCATCATTATGAAAGCCAAGAATAGCAGCTGCAATGATAAAAGTCCAGTTAGATATATCAGCAACCAAAAAAAAAATAAAAAAAAAATTTGGTAATTTAATGTAATCATCATGAAGAGCTGCCCTCATCGGGGAGATCAGCACAACAAGATATTGAATCTACGCCTGTTTCCCAAGGGAGATAAGTATGTGCTTGATCCAATGGCCGGGGTAATAATGTAAAATGCTATAGGCCTTATTTGCATGAAACCAATTTCCAATTTATCCAAGGTGAATAAGGAAGAAATAAAGAATTATTTTTGAATCCCATTATCCCATATGTTTATTACTTTGCTGTTCCTGCGCACCTATTTTCCTTGAGATTTTCCACGCAAATTTGAGCTAGTTTTTGAAGTATCACAATCAAAATACTTTACAGCCCTGCTTCTCAAATTATGGGTCACGATTCAAATTTGTCAAAACATTTCCGAGGGTCATGAAACTGCTTCTGACTTTAAAAGAAAATAGAAGAAAAAAAAAGTGCTTCTACATAGCCGTCCAACAAAGAACTCAACTAAAGAGATACTGTACACCCAAACGTAGCTATGAAGGCAAAGTTCGAAATTTATTATTAACTCAACACCTAGAATCTACTCTTATAGTTATACTGTCGCCAATATCCAGGGATTGATAAGATCATTTGCAAGGACATCTCACATTAATAACACAACGTACCAGTTAATATTACATCCTGTCTAAAATTATGAGATTCTTTTCATCCTTTATGCGAGGAGATGGGGGACGTACAAGCTTTATTTCGAATTGTTATTTACCCAGTCAACCTTGGCCAAGTCAAACGTACATAAGTCGAAATTTGTCATAGTTTTTATTGTTTTACTTTAAACATTTCAACATTACGAGTACTAATACAATGAATATTCTCCTTACTATAAAATGGAATATCCCATACATACTTTGCTGAGTAAAAAAAAATCGAAACAATCTATTAAACACTCTTTATATTCGAAATATACTATTGAGATACAGCATATCTTAATATGATAATATATGCCTTGGGTCGCCAAAAAACAGGGGAGTTTGAAAGTGGGTCGCCACCTAAAAAGTTTGAGAAGCAGGGATTGATAGTATGGTGTGTGTGTGTGTGTGTGTGTGTAGATTTAAGCTTTTGTAACAATAGCCACTATTCGAATGTTCTGTCAACAGGGTACGACCGTTGTAATCAAAAGAATTTACATGTATTAATCCTTAACTCAACGTTATCTAGGCCTAAAGCCCATCCATGCCCAGCGTTTTCTTACCCAGCCTTTTCCAGTTCATCTCACTCGACTCCACGACATCTAGCAGCCTACACAACTTCTGGTACGCAATGGGCGGAATGTCACGTACAAATCGTATTCCTTTCCGATTCCTTTGCATATTCCCTAAAGTCGCCATGACTTTTTAAAATCGATAATGTTGATTTAGAAGTTCTGGTAAAGCCGTCGGAACATGAGTAAAGAACGAAATAATTAAGGCTAGCGTACCTCCAACGGAGCAATGCTCCGACGACTATTTACTGCATGGAGCTTTCTGTGATGGCAGCTATAACTGTAATACGGAAGTAGCACGGTTGTGACGTCAACAAAAATAATGTAGGGGATTTCCCTATTTTGTCCAGAAATGGGGAGGTGACAATCAAGAAATCATCTTTGGGTCGGGTTATTTTATATAATAATGAGAACCAGACCCGTAGCCAGGTCCTTCCAAGGGGGGTTTTCTGGGCGTCACGTCCATGGTCGAAGCCCTGGTGGGGTCGGCAAAACCCCTGAAGCAAGAGGATTTTTGTGCTTTATGGGTCTAAATAATGCTATAAAAGCAGACATGCTTGAAAACGTCTGTGTCTGGGTGGGTCTGCAGTGCATTAGTTGGGTTGGAGGACTTGAAAAAAAAAATTGAAAAGGGGGGGTTCGCCATAAAAGAGGGGAGTTTGCTGGAAAAGGGGGTTCTTCCGATCTAGATGTGTATAAGAGACAGCCCCCACCCACTGGATACGGGCCTGTAGAACAATGGGCTTTTTTACGATTAGATCACATATCATACCCATCCATGGTAGACCTAAGGCTACGTTCCCATAAGCCTACATAAATATTATTAAGTCAAAAAGCAGCCATGTTTCAATTGTGTAAGCATTTAACCATAAGAAAAGATGAGTCAATTATTCGTATCATTAATATGATGTGGGATGATGGAATGGGTCATTGTAATTGGGATAATAACTAGTCTCCGGAAACGGTGTTGCGGTAATTTTAAACTAAAGGGCGGGGTGTAATTTTGGCTCAGGTAGGTTACACTACTGGAGAACAAAGAACACGTGTGACAACATTATTCGCCCATAATCACTACGGAATTATATTAGAAAATACAGTACTACTGTGTGCGGTGGGTGGGCTACTTTTAGTCAGCATTGTTTTTTTTTAAACAGGATACTTTTTATAGCATTTATACTGCCGAACCTGTGTGACGTCACAAACAGCGATTTGATTGTAACAGGATATATCAGTCTGTTTAGTACAGTATATAATGCCAGGTAATTCCACAATTCTCAAAATAAGTTTGTTACTCAATACAATGACGTCACCCCATTGATAATAAAAAATTGATATAAATAACAAATTCCTATGATTGAAGGCGATGGATATCACTGTGGCTAGGTGCTAGCCGCAATACGGACAAACGGCGGAAAAGCGTTACCGAGTAGTAGTAGGTCTAGTCGTAGTAGTATTGATATGCAAATCAATGAGGCGTGAATAATTATGTTTTCGATTCGAAGAAGAGACTAGAGTATCTTCTAACCATGGAGATGTTCTAACATGGACCTATTAATAAGAAGGAAATACAGCAATTTCCAGCTAGCGTGACTAATTGCTCTTCAGCCAATCAGCAATAAGCTAATAATAATAAGATAGGCCTAATAACAAAGATACTAGAAACACAAGATAGAGTTCAATTCTCCCATGAATTCTCCACAGAAAAAAACTGTTCCACCGAAATGCATGGTGGCAATACAAATAATGGGGCGCCGCGTACGGCTGGATCTAAAAAACTTCTGCCACCGTTACATACATAGTCTCCTTTTGCGGAGGTTGAAATCGTTGCAATTTTCCATACAAACAAGTTGGTATAAATAAACCAAAACGATAAAATGACAGACACAAAAGCTCAGATTTGTATGACCGGACTCTGGTTATCAGATTCCTGATGATGACATAATTAATGTCGAAATATTGAATCCCGACACGATGGCGTGCATTTCGATACTTGGAGTATGTATACTATTTTATCTGAGATTAATCGGTGGACCTTTCGGACTCTGGTTAGTGATAAAAAAAAAATTGTTGTACTGTACCTTTTGTAAATGTGTATTGGTCGATAAATAAATAAATGAATGAATGAAATGAAGTTTTTCTCCATTAGTGAAAAAAGAAGGATGCTGCGTGTGTCTGGTTATACATCTATAAAGAACCCTATACTAGCAACAGAAGGGCGCCCTGTACGTCTGGACCAATTTCCGCTTCATGTTTGCTCTATCTTGTATTTCTAGTATCTTTGATAATAATACGTCCATGCTTCTACTATTATTCATTATAATTATCATATACCCTATCAATTATTATTATTATTATTATTATTATTATTATTATCATCTTTTTGCTTAGTGTTATGATTATATTATTATTGTTGTTAGTAGGCCTATTTGAATTATTGATTTTAGACGCCTATATTTATCAAAATAATTTTTCGGCCCATAGTGACCAAACCTAGCATAATTATGCTTTTTGGCATAATTTAGACCCATTTAGCATCTAGCATATGTGCTGGCATTATTTTAGAAAAATTTAGCATAATTTAGCATAATTTTGACCTCAGAGGAAAAAAAAAACTTTAATCTGAATTAAACCTGCCGTCAATAACCGTGGATACCACATAATAAAACTGAATTCGGCCATTGATTAAGACTTAATCAAGACTGAAATCAAGATGGGAGTATCCCAATAAATCCTATGCTATACGCATACTGCAGCTGCGTTTCTGTGGTTTTATTTAATTCTTTTTTTACGACACATTAAAAATAATTTTGGCCAGGGATTCAATCCTGTCCGGTCCTGTCCTCGCTGGAGGCGAAATTCGCGTTCGTTCGTTCGATCCGTCCGGGAGGCATGCGTCCGGGAGTACTACCGACTAATGAGTTTAAAATTAAGATACTGATACTCGGGCTGATACTCTATGACTGATCAGGGAGTTGGTCATAACAACTGCAGTGGTTTCGCTTTACTGCTCAACTAAACTATGTCTGTGAAATTACATATTTTGTTTTTGTAATGTGTTAATACACTACTTAGATAGGCTTTTCTTTTTCCATCTTGATTTCAGAGGTCAAAAACATTTTTCAATTTTTTTTCAATCATATAGTGGTGTAGACTAATCTTTTAAGAACATTTTGCTGGAGTTTTTTGAATAACATGATGTCAGAAAATCAGCCTAAAAGCTTACTGTATCTTATTTTTGTTGGTTACGCACCGCTGATTCGCAATGTTTGTCATCACTTCAAGATGTCTACCGATTCGTGAAAAAGGCCTTTAGTGGAACATCCGTTCCAAAGGCATTGCGAGTACGCGGAGAGCAATTTTACCCCATCCGCGCGGCGGCACTATATAGAAATAATAAACAGCAATAAAGGCGCCGCTCTGGTTCGTTTGCTTCCTATGATAGTTTCTCCACTTGTTAAAAATGTTAGTTCCAAAAACAAAGTTGCTTTGTTTTACCACTCAATATATACGACAGAAATGGGTATAATATTATTGACATGACGTTTTTGCGTCGGGGTGTTACAAAATAATGAGAAGTGCGCGTCAATGACTGCTTTCGTACTAAAAGAGCACTGCTACAGCGCCGCCAGACGGTCGGAACCTTTCATTGCACAGTTCACAGTGTTACTTGGTCAAAACAACGTAACTTGAAATTTTCCCTTTTGGAGAAAAATAGAGTTTGCATGTTTGCAACTTGCAGTAAATAAGCGTACACTTTCGAAATTTTGCAGGATTGTATATCTATAGACATTGTGTTTATATATAAAATTTTAATTACAACCGTTTGTTTATTGCAAAGTTATTAGCGACGTCCAAAGATAGCCTACGTTGTTTCAGGAACAATCAGGTTCGGTATTGTGTTAAGTGTGACATATTTTTGGATTTTATCACGTTTTGGACAATCACATGCATTATCTAGATTGTTCATATTTCGCTGTTATTGATTATTCATATCAAAATACCAAAATAACCAAGCTTAAAACAATTTTTAAATCCCATGTATTATCTAGCTTGTTCATACGTCGATTTGATTATTCATATGAAAACACAATTAACCAATTGAATTTGCCTTGCAAAACTCTATCAGCTTAAAACAATTTTTAAATCCCATGTATTATTTAGCTTGTTCATACGTCGCTGTTATTGATTATTCATATGAAATTACAATTAACCAATTGATTATGCCTTGCAAAACTCCGTCAGCTTAAAACAATTTTTAAATCCCATTTCGAGGCAAAATTAAACAACGTATCTACATCGTAGATATGTTGTTTTGCCCCGTAATCCTGCAGTTGTTTTACCACGGAAATTCACTGGATTGTTAGGTTTGTGCTTATAGGTAGGTTGTGCTAATCCCGCAATGTCTCATTTAATGAGATCTGAAATTTTCACAGAAAATCAGAAGTGGCTAATATGCTCCCAAATTATAGTATATCCAGGGGCGGATTTAGGGGGTGGGGGGAGGCTGCGACTTGTATCACATTTTTTTTTTTTTTTTTTTTTGAGATAATTGAATGGATACACAATTCCATAGAAAGGTTGATTCTATGTCACATCGCACAATGCATAGCTACAAAGACAGTTTAAGCGCAGATGCACCAGCATGGAAACCTTTGTGCAATCAGTCACTCTCAGTATGTAAGAATCGGTAATATTATTTCTGACACCCTATATTGCAGTACTGGTGCCCCGCAAGGCACCGTACTTGCTCCGTTTCTATTCACTATTTACACTGCTGACTTTAGATCAGCTAATAAATGTCCAACAATTAAATATGCTGATGATACGGTAATCTTGGGTCTAATTAGGAAGGACGACCTGTCTTTGTATATTTAAGAAATTCAAAGGTTTGTGTCTTATTGTAAAGATAACTTTCTTGAAATTAATACAGAGAAAACGAAAGAAATGGTGATTGATTTTCGAAAAAAGCGGGTTAAGGGAGAAAGTATCATTATTGAAAATAAAGAAATAGCACAAGTTACATCGTATAAATATCTGGGGGTAATCTATGATAATCAACTGTCGTGGGGAACTTTCTGTGACCATTTAGTTAAGAAACTTAATATGAGAATGTTTTGCTTTAGGAAACTTAATTCTTTTCAGGTCAGGAAGGAGATAATGCTGTCATTTTATAATTCTGTTATTCTCGGATTACTTTGTTACTGCTTAGTTTGTTGGGGTGGGAATATTTCACAAGGTGATAGGGACAGATTACAGAAGTTTGTTAACAGGTTTGGGAAGATTATCGGTTCGGAACTGCAATCGGTG